ACGCACAGTGCCACCAACTCCCTCCACTGGTCGATTTTAATTGACATCTTCGGCCGCCTAGGTAGAGACTCTATCTCATGAGCCTGACACATTTCCAGAGCTCGTCAAGGTCCGCTAAGCTGGGGAACCGAGCGGGGAGCCGAGGCTCGAACACCCGCCAAGAACGCGCGGGCCCGGTAGACCCGCCAGCGGCCTCCCCTCTCCCAGGAGGAGGAACCCCTTCAAAAATGGGAGCATCCCTCTCCCAGGGTTAAACAGTCACAGAAGCCTCAAGCCGCCGGGATTGGGGTTTAATTTTGTCCTTCCAAGGGCTTGGAACGAAATGGGCCTGGAGAGGGAGAGAGGTTTCCACCCCGCCTCCTCTTAATGGGCGTCCCGTCCGCACTCGCGCGCGTCGCGCCTATCCTTGCGGGAAAAGTCCCTGCCACCACTCTAAAGGGCGGCAAAGGGGTCCCAGGCCGGGCTAATTCCAGCTCAGTCGGACCTCGGGGTTACCTGAGAGAATAAGCTCCGAAAACCAGCGCAAACCCCTGGGCGGATGGAGGGAAAGGGCCAAGGCGCAGGAACGCCTATTGCGCCGTGCGTCGGACAGAGAGGTGGTCCCTCCCTTGCCCCATTCTTGGCTGCGACCTTTACCCACGGCTGCGGGACGCGGTGCGCGGAAAGCCTGCTCCCGCAGAGGGCAGCCCTGTCCACATCTGCCGCCACCGGCGAGCCCCGCAAAACCCAGAGCGCGCCGGGATTCCCCGGCAAGTGCCCAGGATCGTGCGCCGCCCGCGGGTGCGCAGCAAACGCTCATTTAAATAATCCGTCGTCTGTTCCCCGGGCCACCCAGGCCTGCGTCTGCCCGCGGGGCGAGGAGCCCTGCCCCGGTCGCAGTGAGGTCGTTCGGGTCGCGCTCCCAGACCTTAGGACGCCACTCCCGCCCAGCCCTGCGCAGCCCCGCCTAGCTCTGGTTTGCGAAAGCCCGGACCTCCGCCAACCGCGGAAATAAACTCGAGTTAAGATTTGCTTCTTCTCAGTCCCGACTTTACCACTTCACGGATACTGGGGACCGCTCAGTATAGACCTTTGCCCCTCACCTGCTGCACCTGCGTGCTCCGTGTCCGGCTTTAACAGTTCTGCATGCTGAGCGCCCTGGGATCGCGGCTTCCCAAGCTTCCCTCGGTGCTCAGGACCCTCTCCGATTTCAAGGCCATGGAAAAGAGGAGGCTGGAGCCCTCTCGCCCCTTGGGAGTCCTCGGCCATCCGCTGTCCCAAGCGGGGCGCTGCCGCGCACACCCGAGTTTCTCCAAATTCCCTTCTATGTGGTACGCAGATCAGGTCGGGGGCTGAGACGGGATCCTAGCAGTTAGGACATCGGAACCCCCAACTTATCAGGCCCGAATCGGCCGGCGGGGACAGTCGGCCTCGTCTGTAAAAACTGTCTTGCGCCTGAGAATATTCTTGCGACGCAGGGAAGGAGGTCTATGGTGCCCACGGCTGTTGTATCTGAATGTTGGGAATATGACAGACTCTCAATCGATTTCATTCATATACGGTATATATTAGTGTGTGTGTTTTTCTCGAACAAGGAGACAAAGCAGGAATGGAAAGAAGAGCGAACAGCACCGGCGTTTGAGCGGGCTCCTGGCTTGGGCAGTGAATCCATCCCACTCCCTTAAGGAACCGCCTGCAAAAAGGACGGTCGACAACCCCCGGGGCTCGGACCCACGAAGCGACCTGCGCTGGGACATTTACACCCAAGCACCCAGGAGGAGCCCCAGCAGGGGAAGTACCAGAGAAGTCCTTCACCCGACCCTACCAAACACAAAATAAAATACCCTCTTCCTACAGCTTCGGGGTTTGCCAGAGCTTGTCGGAAGCATTTTAGGAGACAAGGAAGGGACGGAGACCCCAGGCCTGCATTCCATTTTCCACCCCCAGCCGATACTCCGTGAGGCTCCTCCTCCTCCCATGGGGGCTGCCCTCTCCCGCACCAGCGAGCCGGGCCACGGGCGTCCTTTCCCTCGGTGCCTGGGGAGACTACGTGGCCGATGGGTCAAAATCGAAGCACATAAAACGCCCCACCTTTCTATAGGCCCCATGCTTTTCGTTTTACGGCGTCTCCTCAGCGGGCACGGCCGGTCAGCAGGGCCCCGACGAGGGGAGGAGACTGCTGAGGTCCAGGGAGAGAGTTTTGGAAGCGGCTCAGCGGGGACTCTCACCGCACCCCAAGGGGCCCTGGGTCGGCCCCTCGGATCTTGATGTCCCTACAGCCCGGAAGGCAGCGGGACGCGCTGTCGGTGTTGGCTGTAGGGACAGCTGTAGGGCTGTCGGAGCAACAAGGCCCGCACTGCGAGCCGCACGACCAAGGTGCGGTAAAAAACCAGGAGGGCGAAAGCGCAAATGGCGAGTCCGCACGGGAGCCAGCGGAGCGGGAGGCGGGGACAGAGTGGCAAGGAAGAGGCCAAGTCTGGAACAAGACTAGCGAAGACAGAAAAATTATTTCATCAGTTTTCCTAAAGAGGATGCACCTCACCCATCCCCAAATAAGCATAAGAATAGTCCAGCTGCCGCCGAAATAAGCTGAATTTAAATGCCCCTCGAGGGGAGGGCACTAGAGGCACGGAGCTTGGAGACACCTAGACCTGCGCCACCAGGTGCTCCATTCGTGGTGACTCCGTGTGATGAAGAAGCCAACATGTCTGTGTTGAGGAGGAAACCCAAAACCTTCTAGGCGGTGACTGGAGGGACCCCAGTGGGAGAGCCTTTCTTTTGTCTCCCCTCCCCTAGGGTTTAAGAGCCTACTGTTCCGGGAGGCCCAAGGGTGTGCCCCACAACCCCTCCTGCTTCCCCCCTTCTTAGGCCACAGGGCCCAATCCCAAGATGGTTGTGTACATGTGGGTGAGGGGACCATGCCTCACCTATCCCCTGGTCCCAGCACCTACAGCAACAGCCAGTGGCCAGATCTGCTGCAAGGGAAGGTACAATCCATTCACATTCCAAGAGGAAATAAAAGGTGGATCCGGAAATCTTCAGGTAACAGTCCCCTCAATTTTGGCCGATGCCTCCTCCAACCAAGGCCACAAAACCCAGACAAAAGGGAGGACTGACCACCCCCTCTAGGTTAGACATTGCCTCGATGGGCCATGTATACCTCAAGTTTTCCACCGTGTGACCTAGACTCAGCCTTGGCAAACTGTAGCTCTGAGTTCTGGGCATTTTGGGAAAGCGACTCCCTGACATGGAACATTAAAGTTCTCTCTAAACAACAGGAGCAAAGTGTCACTCATCAGTGTCACTCATCACAAGAAAGGCCGTCAGAACAGAGACCATCGTCCTTCATCTCGGTCCCAACAGACAGGTCACCCACGGACCACAGCCAGAAGAGCACAGACGTACTGGGTACCAAGGACACTAGTAACACACACACCCTTCCCCCACTCACGCAAGCTCCTCACTCTCGCAGAGCTACAAGCAGCTTAACGACTCGGTGCACCTTTGCCAGGGTTTCTGTTTGTGCAGGGGCTGAGAACCCACTCTGTCCCTACCGGTGTGCGGGGATGCCTTCTATAGAAACATCTTAGTAAACTCCCCAAGGCTCAGCACAGACGTGGGACTGTTTGCCAGCAGTTGACACAAAAACACACAAAGAATAACTATAGAATACAGCCAAGAAACAATCTAAATAGGCTTGGATGAAGCTATCCTTTTCTAGTCCCTTCTCAAAAACTTCCCAGAGAAGCCCAGGGTACGCGCTCTTCAGCCTGCCCTCCCAGGTCTCGCCGGACAGAAACCCTGCCATGGAGAGCCGAGGCGCAGGAGGGCGCGCTCGTGCGTCCTAGTTTGTAGGTAGTTACCATCCCTGGGTGAGCCGGCCCTTACTTAAAGTAAACCCCGAAGACTTAGCTACCGCACCACAAAAGAAGTCGAAGGCGGAGCGAGGGACTCTTTGGTCTCTCCAGGGTGCCTGGGGCGCCCTGCTGAGCGTGCGAGCCACCGGGGCAGGACTCTCCCGGAGCTCGCCTTGCGCGCGCGACAATTTGGCACCTGTTCTGGCCTCCGCACAGATTCTCTCTCGCGGACTCTCGGCTCAGGAGTGAAGGACAGAGACGGATTCCCTTCTGAAAAATCTCTGCGCGCGCACACCCATACACATAAAGAGACTTGGGGATAAACACACTCCGAGCTCCCGCCGCCTAGCTAATTTCGGGCGCGGGAAGAAAGCAGCAGGGCAGGCTAGCAAAGCGCGCACATACCCCCATCTCTACCCCTCCAAACCAGAGCCATCCTGAGCACCTGCCCTCGAGTGCTCGAAGGCAGAACCCTGAATTCACAACTTCGCGCGAGTGCTTCTCCCTCGCCTGGATTCCTAGGTTAGCTGGAATGCAGCGAGCAGATTCCCTCGTGAGCAGATTCCCTCATCAGGAGCAGTCAGTCCCCGGCGGCGCACACGGCGGGTGCCGCCGGCAGTAGCTGCTGGGGATGCACCGGCGTGCACGCCCCGGGCGCGGGCCGCAGGGACTAAGAGTGTGGCTGGGGCTTCTCTGCCGCCAGCCTCGGGGGCGAGAGACACGCTCTCCAACTTCCCGCCAGCTGGGGTGAAGTTGCACTAGCGGTCCCGCCAGCGTTAACCATCCAGCTGGGGAAAGAAGATTTGGGGGGGACCACCCTCGCTCTCAGGCCTGGCCTACAGCTCGTACCCCTGGGTGTCCCCAAACAGCACTCTCCCTAGTGTTCCAAGGAAAGCCACAGGCTGGAGATGCAGGGTTCGGTACTCGGTACTCAGCTCGCCTCAAGCATTATCCAGGAGGCAATTACATTCGGCCCAAAAAAGCCAAGAGCCTGGCCCCTGAAACGCACTCTGGCCGGCGCCCCAGCCCTGTGACCGCCTCTGCGCCCCGGCCGCCGGCCCCTCCCGGCCAGGGCCACCAGCGGCGTCCGGCCCGCCCCGCAGCTGCTGAGGCTTGCTACCTGTCTTGTTAGAATTAAATCAGCGAGAAAGGGGGGTGTCTTACGTTGCATCGGCACACCTAGCATCTCCGGGAGCCCCTTGACAGCCCCCTCCGCGGGGACAGTCGCACTCTGCATCATCTCGGAGCGAGAGCCAGCGAGTCGCAGTCTACGGAGATCTCTTGCTCTCTCGCTCTAGCTCGATTCAAAAATTTCAAAATAATAATTAAAACCCCAAGCAGGCCGCTGGAGTCGCGGTGGAAACCGGGCCCTCCGCCTCTCCGGAAGGACTCCACAGGCTGGCCGGCCCCCTCCCCCCGCCAGTCCCCAGTCTGTTTCCAGTCCCTTTGATCTCGCTCTCCGGGGTTGGTGCACATCCCAGGTTGAGACGCTGTTGCTGCAGCTCTGGCTTTTTTCCTCTCCTCCCTCCCCCGCCCGCTCCTTCCCCCTCCCCCTCCACCCTTCGCGTGCCGGCCGCCCGGGAGGCCGCGGTCACCCGGGCGTTTTGATTCATTCACACTGCAGGAGCGGCCGTGACGTCGCTTTCCGCAGGGAGGCCCGCCCTTCGGCACATCCCCCCACCAGTCGGCGGGCCGCCGACCCCGGCGGGACTGGGGGTCCCAGCGCCCCAAGTGAGGCCGGGGGGCGGGGCGGCAGGGAGCGGGGCGGGGCCTCGCAGGCCTGCACCCCCGCCTCTGCCCAGCCGTGCGGGCTCGCGCCCCGGGTATAAATCCTGAGGCTAGCCCACCGCGGCAGCAGGTGGTCGGAGACGGCGGCGCCCGGGGCTTGCGCGTCTCCACGGGTTCCAAACTCGCGCGGCTCGTGTCCTCCTTACTCCTCCGTTCGGTCCCGTGGTGGGGCGGGGCAGTGGCCGGGGCCGGGCGGGGCAGGCGGTCGGGAGGCCGGGGCCGCGTTGCCTGTCTTCGCCTTGCGCGCTCTCGGGCCCCGGCTTCTCTCCGCCGGACGGAGCGCGCTCCGTAACCGGATGACTACATCCATCTTCCTCCTCCTCTTCTCCCCTAGCCAATTCCTTTCCCGCCGGCACTTCCCAGCCCCAACTCTCTCTCCCCCGCGTCTGGCTGAGGCTGGGCCAGGGACAACCCGTACTCGGCTCGGAACGCGCGAGTGACGCGGCGGGCTGCGGCGGCCCGGGTCGGGGAAGGCGGCCAGCGGCCGTGCGCGGAGGTGGCGGGGCTCAGGCCCCCCGCGCGCGCCCCCGCGGACCGCAGCCGGAGTCCGCACTTGCCTCCAGCTCCGCCGGGCATGGGCCCTAAGCCAAACGCCGGTGGGGTCTCCCCGGCTGCCCCGCCGCCGGCCGCCCAGCTCGGCCCTTTCCTGCGTCCCCAGAGCCCGCCCTGCCTCTCTGGCTGCCACCGCGGGCGCTTTGAACCGTCCCCGACCTCGTGCGTGCAGGGCGGCAGCGAGCACACGGACGCCCGGGCTGACCTGCCACAGGGCTTGTGATGCTTACTGTATTTACGAGACGCAAGTAGAGAGAGAAACGCTTAAATTCTCAAAATGAGTTTCTGACGGAAATACAACAGAAGGCCCAACGCTGGGACGAGGGCTCCTCTGACGCCCCATCAGGCGCTCGACGCCTCCGGGCTCCAGGCACAGCAAGCCCACCCCGCCTGCCCCAGACCCACCCGCTCTCCTGCCCCCAGCCCCCATGGCATTTCCTTCCTGAAATTCAGACAGACGCGTCCTTCCAGCCTAGTGGGGTTCAGCTTAGGCGGGAAGGGGGACTGTGTGCCCTCCCCAGCCTTCCAGAACCTTCCCTCCTCTTTCCCCTGGCATCATCTCCAAACAAGGGACACCTGCTCACCTTTCAGGGTTGGTGAGGCAGGAGCCTGGGGCGGGGGAGAATGGCCTGGTAGACCGCGCTGCTTAGCATGTGTCTCCAGTGAGGTCACGGTGACTTCCGTGTATCCTGGTACAGGGTTGGCATCATCTCTTCTCCTGTTTACCTGCGAGGTGACTCCAGTGCGCGAGACAATGTACGACGCAAGAAGAAAAAAGCAAAAGAACACTTTTAGTGTTTACCAAAATGTTTTCTGTAGAAATGTAACTAGTAAGCAAACAGGGGAAAATGCCAGCCTCATTTGCAGTGAATGACACTCAAGACAAAACCACACGTGCATACCTCTTTCTGTTTGTGAGATGACTGACTCAGAGGGGCGGGGGGCGTCCTAGAGTTCAGAGCTGGCGAAGGGGCTTGGACACTGGAACTCTCACCGACACTGCTGGATGCTTATAAACTTAACCTCCGTTTGGAAAGCACTGTGGCAATATGTGTCAAACTCATAATTTTTTGATACCCTTTAGTTCATGTAGTACTGCTTTTGAATGTCTATTCCATGGAAATAATCTAGCATATTTTTAATAAAAGTTTCTTGCATGAAGATGTTTATTATGGCATCATGTTTTGTAGAAAAATAACCTAAGTAGCCAACAAAAGAACAGTGGCTTAGGGAAGTAGATGAAATTGTTTGGTAGTGTGTTAGGGAATCATTGAAACCAATTACGAAACCCAGTAACATGGGGATCCTTGTGAAATACTATTTTTTTTTTTAAAGCACAATGCAATAGCGTAGGATTAAAAGTATGTAAAAATGTTAGTCAAATGTAAGAGCAGTGATAATACCCATTGTTGGTTGGGCTGTGGGGAAATTAGAAAACAGTTTCCTCGTGGGAATTGCCAAGAGGGGAAATATCTTCTGAGGGCATTTTGGCTACAGATGTGATAGATTTGACCCAATCCCTATAGAAATTTATCCAAGGAAAATAAGAATGTTTGTAAACATGTAGTCACAAGGATGTTAATAATGTTTTTAAAAGGGAAAACCTAAAAATCCAACAATAGGGGATAGTAAATATACATTAAATTATTAAGTAAAATGGATTGTTGCAAAGTCTTAGAAATGCAACAGAAGAATATTTAATAATATAAAAAAGAGTTTGAGATTTAGGAAATGTGAAAAAATATGAAGCAGTATGAACTTTAGGAACTTTTTTTTAAAAAAAAGCATAAACACTATACACTTAAAATGGTAAAGATGGTAAATTATTTGTATATTTTACCTCAAAAAATGGTTTAAAGGAGCAAGAGTAAAAAAAATGCCCAAGAATACAAGTGGTTATCTGTCAGTGGATGTTTTATTTTATTCTCTTCGCTTTTTTCCTGTTTTCTCAATGAGCACATTATTTTATAAAGCAAAATAACTAATAAAATGCTTTAAAAATATTAGGGAAAAGGTAAGGAAAGATATCAAAATGCTACTCAAAAGAATATTAGGAAAAAGCTACATTAGGGAGATCCATTATGGAACTTTTTTCTTTTCCTCCTTTTCAGATTTTCTGTAAAATGATTATTTTTTCAGTAATATTAATAAGAGATAACATTCATATGCAGTGAAATGTAAGGCATATATGCTTTACAGTCAATACTTTTGTCATTTGAAATTATATTTTTAAAATGCTCTCTGCAGCTCCTGCTTCCCTGGTGTGAACCTGATGGGGCATGCCCTTTTCCCAATGCATGTCACTAGCCTGATTCAGGGAATAGTAGTATGTTAGAGAATCATTGAAACTAATTATGAAATCCAATAACATAGGGATGCTTGTGAAATACTAATTTTTTTTAAAGCACAATGCAATAGCATAATGCAATGACTTTCACTGGGGCTGATTCAGGGACTACCACTTTCACCTGTATCCCTTGGCAGATGAGCACTGGGAAGTCAGCTTGGCTCTCAGTTCTTGCATCTGTAAGCATCAGCGCCAACATACCTTGCACCCGCATGCACGCCCACACAGTGCAGCTCAGCCAATAAATGCCCTTTTCACATTTTGAGGCTTTTCTAAAAGCATTTGCTTCTTGTATGAGCTGGGTCCTCTTCCCAAGGTGCTCCAATAACCTCTATACCACCCAAGGCACTTCACTTCCCTCGGGACCTCAGCTTTCCCATCTGCAAATGAGGAATCCTAGCAAAAAGCTTTACTTAAACAGGTTTTGTTTTTAGTGCCTACCACTGTTGGTGGTATAATAACCTAACAGCATATGGTAGTAATAACAACTAATATTTACTGAAACTTTGCAACTGACCAGGAGCTCACACCTGTAATCCCAGCACTTTGGGACGCCGAGGCAGGTGGATCACCTGAGGTTAGGAGTTCAAGACCAGCTTGGGCAACATGGTAAAACCCTGTCTCTAGTAAAAATACAAAAATTAGCTGGGCACGTTGGCGTGTGCCTGTAATCCCAGCTACTCAGGAGGCAGACGCCGGAGAATCACTTGAGCCCAGGAGGCGGAGGTTGAAGTGAGCTGAGATCGTGCCACTGCACTCCAGCAAAAAAAAAAAGAAAACCCCCTTAATTTAAAAAAAAAAAAAAAAAAAAGTTTGCAGCTGTACCAGGCACCAAGGCCAGTGCTTCTACCTGCATAATTCTATCTATTCTTCATGACGATCTGATGCATGCTATTATTATACCTACTTGGTGGAAGAAAAAACCGAGGCTAATAGGGGCCAACCTGGCTTCTACCCCCAGAGAATGGGAGAATGGCTGAATCCTACAGAAGTCAAATAATCTCTACTGTGGAATGGTCCAGAAAGACCCTTGGGGTGGGACTCAGTTTGGATTAAAATCCCTCAGCTGACTCTGTAGGGCTTTTCTCACCACAGTGCACCCAGGTGACCTCCTAGGAATGTTCCTCGGAGCCAGCCATGTGCCTCTGGGCCAGGACCTGGTCGGAGGGTGAGCACTAGAGGATGGGCCAGTGGGAGGGTGACGTGGCTTTCTTCAGGTCTAAGCTCTGTCAGAGAAGTTGAACAATAACCAGTACAAAGTATCCCATACCTTCTAGACATTTATACATTACATTTCTGGAAACCAAACCCAACATGTCAGTGGATCCAATTCAGAGGCAAGACACTCAATTTAGGAAAATGACTACAGCATATATTTGTCTAGCATTTTACATTTTACAAAGTTCCTCCACATAGTTTATCTCATTTTATCTTCATAATTATGCCCGGGCTTGGGTATGATTATCAGGAAACAGAGAGGTTAAGTGGTTTGCCCAAGGTCACACAGCTAATAAATTACAATGCCAACTGGTAATTAAATCCAGTCTTTTGACTCCCAATCTGGTGCTCTTTCCACTCAGCATGGCAGTCTAGTGTGTCTTCTAACCCTTACATTTTAAGAGCATCACAGAGTAGGCAAGCTCTCAGATGCCAGGAACCCTGAGCCCCAGGCTCTTTCTCCACTGAGGGACGCATCTCACTGCCTCTGCTCCCCTCCTTTTCAGCCCAGCTCTAATCACCTCCTCCTCATCCTCATTCCTCTCAAAACCCCCTTCATCATTTGCATTTTGAAACTGTTTCCTTAATTATTCTCCTGCTGTTGGA